ACATGATGATCTAACAGTTTTAAATCCCGACTAAATAATTATGTAACGAGACTGTAGTATTTTCTATATATATATACTTCGACGGAACATATAAGAAAGAAAGACATTTGTGTTTATTCATATGTAGGGTATCCATCGGTCAATTTATCGAATTCATAGACACGAACTAAATTGTCATTAAAACCAATTGAACATAAAACTGAACTTAAATAACCCTCTAATTAGTGCGTGGCTCGTGCGATGCACGAAAAAATAATATTACGATTGTATTATAAATTAAATATACAAATAAATTAATCAAGATTTATCCATCGTTTTTAAATTAAACCGTGTTGAACACAGTCCGACCGGATGGACCGAGAACAAGTTTATAATCAGTCTAGTTCACTTGAATAAAATATTTGCTATTGAATCAACACCAGTCGGTTGAACTGGTTGGAGAAATTTGGTTATATTTAAAATTATTTTAAATAAAATTAGATATTTAAATAAAATACAGATTTATAAATTGTTTATCAATTAATTTAAACATTTAAAATTTTAAATTGTTTAGATATTCAAGTAACACATTTTATTCAAATTTATTAAAAAAACTATAATATACATATGTATATATTAAAACGTTTTTTAAAGAAAAAAATAAATTGCATGATTTTTATAAATTAAATTGTATGATTATATTAAAGCGTATTTATAAATTAAATTGTATATTTTTAAAAAAAAATAAGAAAAATAATAAAACTACCATTTATGAGTATCATTAAATACTGACCTATTTTTTTGCTACTAATTTTAGTAAATATGATGGCTCTTTATATAAGTATAGATTCAGTCAATTAATAGAAATATGTTGTAATTTATAATATAAACGAGTACATTGATTTTGGTTTAATATTTATATTAGTTTCACTAAATTAGTATACATACACATGCCCATGTTTGTATGTTAGATGAATTATTAACGGACTGAACCTTATTTAGAAGTTTGAATCGTCAAATCCATGTATTTTCTTTAATTTGGTTAGTTTTTTTTATTTAAAACGCTCGTTCTGAAAAAAAAAATATATGAGCGTTTTGAGAAGAGATATTTTATAATTTATAGTATAAGATGCCATTATAAAATTTTTAAAATAGTTATACAATCCACTATATATCAATCAATTATTTACAGACAACTAATACAAAATTCATAAGTCAAATAAATTATTACAATCCGTTATTCGATCATCTTCTATCCTTTATAATTAATAGCCAAACAGGGCATACCTTTATCAAAAACAATTTTCTTTTTTATTATGAAATTTAATTATAATCAAAACCAAATTAAAATAACCCAAATTGAAAAAAAAAAATAAAATCGAAACCGATCAATCGGTTATTCCGTTTCAACCGTCATCTGCAAAGCAAACCACATTGATATGAATTTTTTTCAAGAAATCCTCGCCCCTAAC